TGGAACAGACCATCAATTGCTCATATGCAAGTTCAAGCTGAAGCTGAAGAAAATAAAAGCAAGTCCATGAGAGCCAAAGCATGACCCTGAATACATTGCAGCTGAATTTACAGACTGACTCAAGAATAGATTTGACACATTGAGAATTAGTGACTGAAGACCAGGTGAGCTGAGTTGTGGGATGACATCAAGGACATCATACACCAAGAAGATAAAAGGTCACTAGAAGGACAGCAAAAAAAAAAAAGATCAAAATGGATGTCAGAAGAGACTGATACTTCAGCACAAAGTAGCTAAAGTGAACAGAAGTAAAAGAGCTGAAGAGAAGATTTCAAAGGTGGATTGAGAAGACGAAGTAAAGTATTATAATGAAATGTACAAAGAGCTGGAGTTAGAAAACTAAAGGAAAGAGCACAGTCGGTATTTCTCAAGCTGAAAGAACTAAAGAGAAAATTCAAGCCTTGAGTTGCAATATTGAAGGATTCTAAGGGGGGAAAAAAAAAGAATGATTCAGAAAGCATCTAAAAGAACATGGAGGGAATGCACAGTCACCAAATACACAGAGTACCAAAAGAATTGGTCGACATTCAACTATTTCAGGAGATAGCATATGACCAAGAACCGCTGGTACTGAAGAAGTTAAAGCCACACTGAAGGCTAACAAACCCAAGAACAAATAAAATGGCACAGTCCCAATATTACCAAACAACATGACAGGCCACTAGTTCAAGTGCAGACACAGTCCCAAGATCAGCAGGAAACATGGCAGGCTGCTCAATGAAAACTCAGCTACATGCAGGGTCCAAGCATCCAAAAAACTACAGAGACCTTTCTCAAAACTTCTCCTTATATACTGGAAGCAGACCATATCCCTAAGGTTGCTATTCAGCTGCTCCAGTAGATTCCACCATGGAATTGATCACCAATCCCTTTGGGGAATAAACTACATCCAGCTGCCCAGCTACTCAAAACCAGGCTCAGCCAAGCTGACACATAATTTTAACACAGACATGCCTCAGAGATAGTGTGAGTTTGGTTCCAGACCACCAAGATAAAGTGAATATCGCAATAAAGTGAACTACACAAATTTTTTTTGTTTCCCAGTGCATATAAAAGTTGTGTTTACACTGTATTGTAGTCTACTAAACATGAAATAGCATTATGAAAAAGTTTAAAATATTGTGAGAATTATCAAAATGTGACAGAGAGACATGAAAGGAGCACATACTGTTGGAAAATGGTGTCGACAGACTTGCTCAACATAGGGTTGCTACAAACCTTTAATTTGTAAAAAATGCAATATCTGTGATGCACAATAAAGCAAAGGGCAGTACAAAAAGGTATGCCTGTGTTTATTTTGTTGCTCAAATGTCCCAGCTTTGGCTGTTGGGGGCCTTTTCAGTTGGCTCCTACATTCCTGTGATATACTCCCACCTCTTTTTTTTCTTTCTTTTTTTTTTTTTTTTTTTGGAGCACTTCCTTATTTTCTGGCACTGCAAGATACTCTAGGTACATCTTGTATATCTCCTGCCCCAGCCCTAAAACTGACCATTTCTCCAAGAAGTACTGGTTCTTTTTATTGAAAGAATGGTATTAGAAATCAAGATCTGGGTGCTAAGTGTGCCCATTGTTACTGGAGTGTCATTACTTCTAGAGCCTCTTAGCTGACAGAACAAGGAAGTGCATAAAACTATGCCAAACCCACTGCCATTGAGTCAGTTTTGACTCATAGCAACCCCCATTGGGTTTCAAAGGCAGCAAATCTTTATTGAAGTAGATTGCCCCATCTTCCTTCCATGAAGCAGCTAGTGGGTTTGAACCACCAACCTTCTATTCAGCAGTCAATGCCTTAGGCGCTGTGCCACCAGAGTGCCTTAAGGAAGGGCATGCTAATTTATATACAGACATAGCTAATTACTTGTATAATTATCTATCTTTGTTAGCAAACATGACTGTGCTGGGGGTGTCTAAGACCACTCTGAGGTTTGGTACTTCTCTAGTACTCAAAGAACTCACCATGCAGTTGTACTCATGGGTGAGATTTATAATAGTGAAAGGATTTGAAAATAAAAACAACCAACAAAGGGAGAAGGCACTAGGTCAAAGTCTGGAGGAAATCAGGTACAAGCTTCCACGAGTCTGCTTCCAGTGGAGTCACAGAGGATGCACTTCATTCCTCCAACAATGAGTTGTGACAATAAATGTGAAATGTTGTCTACCAGGAAAGCTCAATAGAGTCTCAGGATGCAGAATTTTTATCAAGGGCTAAACATGCAGGTTCCCTTTGTCTAGCATAATATCAAAATCCCATACTCCCAGAAGGAAAGCACTGTTCATCATAAGCAATGTCTGTGCAAACATTCCAGGCACAGTGAGCCACCCTTCTAAGTTTCAGAAGTTTCATATCAGTGTAGGGAGCCATTCAAGTTTCCAGATGTCAGCCAAGGGCCAACTTTGCAAGTAGGCTTTTCTAAGATCAATGATAGGCCTGCTGTGTGAGTGCTTTCTGCACAGTGAATTCATACTGATGTCCCCAATTTGAATACAGCAGGACTCTTAATTTTTAATAGCTTTATTGAAGTATAATTGACATTGTAAAGTGTATATATAGAATGTATACAACTGGATAGGTTTCTCTTTCTCTCCATATATATACATGTATATACACACATATCACCACAATCAAGAGAATGCACCCATCTATCACCCTCCAAAATTTCCTTGTGCCCCTTTGTAGTCTCTCCCTTCCATCCATCCTGTCCTGAATCTCCATCCCCAGTCAACCACCTTCTGCTCTGTCACTGTAGATTAGTTTTCATTTTCTAGAATTTTGTACAAATGGAATCACATAATATGTAGTTTCTATTGACTGGCTTCTTTCATGAAACATAATTATTTTGAGATTCTTCCATGTCTTCTTAATACTGAGTTGTATTTCATTGTATAGATAGACAACAACTTTCTTATCCATTCACCTGTTGATGCACATTTGGGTTGTTTCCAGTTTGGGGCTATTTTGGATAAGGCTGCCATGAACATTCATGTAAAAATCTCTGTGTATACATCGGGCTATTTCTCTTACATAAGTATCTAAGAATGAAATGGAGAGTATATATTTAATGTATTAAGAAACTGCCAAAATATTTAGAAAGCGGAAGACATGGAGAGGTGCATGGGAGGTACAGACAACAAAGATTAATCCTTTTGCACATACAGTACTGCATTGTCAGTGAAGGCAAACACTGATCTATGGGTGGATAGATGGGTGGACAGGCTGAAAGATCAGGTATGTCTATGCAGGGGGAAGTGTGCCCATCACCATGTATAGAGTTGGAAGACAATGTTTCTACAAGTGTGTTTGTATGTTCTGTAAGAATTTCCAGGTATATGGTAGAGCTGACAAAGAACAAAGTTGTAGTCACTTCTTGGCCACAGCCAGCTACCCAGAGGGAGTGAGTAGCTGGACCTGTGGGCTCAGAACCATGGTCATAGGGGACATCTAGCTCCATTGGCATAACATACTACACAAAAAATTGTTCCACATCCTACTTTGGTGAGTTGTGACTGGGATCTTAAAAGCTTGCAAGTGACCATCTGGATGCAACGATGGGTCTCTCCTCATCCAGAGCAAAGAAGAATGAAGAAAACCAAAGACACATGGGAACAATTAGTCCAGGGGACTGGCACACCATGCAATCCTCAGCCTATACAATTATGAGAGCAGAACTAGATGATACCCGGCTACCACTGTCAACTACTCAGAGGGGGATCTATGTAGGAGATCCTGGATAGAGTGGGAGAACAACGTGGAACAAAATTCAGAATCATTTAAAGAAACGGGGGAGGGGGGAACCAGGTTTGCTGGTATGATAGAACCCAGGGGAACCACTGAGATTATGGCCCCTTCGTGTCCTTCAGGTCTGGAATTGAACCCACTCCTGTGGCTTCCAGCCAAACAAAAGAGAGGCATATGAGCTGAACATTTACATTAGGTAGATACACTCCTTGGAGAGATCAATCATGGGAGAATAGAAGGTCTGTGTATGCACAGGGAGACAGCTTGAGGGACAGGAGTGCATGGAAGGGAAGGACAGAGGGAAGAGGTAGCTATGGGGAGGAGGTGGGTGGAGAGCTGTTGCATTGTGGGAGATTACAGTCAATGTCATGAGACAAAGTGTTTTTGAACTGCAGTATGGAAGATGAATTTGTTCTATAAACTTTCACCCAAATCACAGTAAAATTAAAAAAAGAAGAAAATGCCAAAATGCTTTCCAAAGAGTGTACCCTGTTACATTCCCACCAGCAACGTATGAGAATTCCAGTTGCTCTGCATCTTCGCCAGTATTTGGTATGGTCAGGTCTTTTAATTTGAGACATTCTACTAAGTATGTAGTTTATCTTATTGTGGTTTAATATGCATTTCCTTAATGAATAATGATGTTGAACACCTTTACACCTTTTCATATGCTTATTTGCTATCCTTACTTATTTTCAGTGAATCTTTTACCTATTTTTAATTCAATTATTTGATTTCTTAGTATCGAGTTTTGAGAGTTCTTTATATACTCTACATAAAAATCCTTTATCAAATACATTATTTGCACTATTTTCCCCAATCTTTTATGTGTCTTTTCAATTTTTAAGTCTCTTTTGAATATTATTAAGATTCTATTAATTTTGTGGATTGTGTCATTTACCCATCACAAAATAGTAGAGGACTGTGACTATTCACATTTAACAGATGAAGAAACTAAGGCTCAGAGGAGTTAGTCACTTGCCTAAGGTTACGAATTAGTAAATGCTGGAGCCAGAACTTGAAATCAGGGCCTCAGAGTCCATGTACTGGGCCTTCACCACAATTCTAAGCTAACCTCCATTTTGGGTGCTGGGATGCAACTCTTGCTACACAAATGTGTTTGGTGCCATTTGTCTGTCAGAAGAATGAGGCAGGTCTACTGAGGTTCTTTTCATGTTCCCCTTTTCCATCCTCTCTTCTCCAGACTGGTGGAGGAAGTAAAGGATCTGTGTGATGGCCTAGAATTAGAAAATGAAGATGTTTACATGGCAACCACCTTTGGGGACTTCATCCAGTTGTTAGTGAGAAAGCTGAGAGGGGAAGACGAAGACGATGAACAAGTCATTGATTATGTGAGTCCTGAGCTCCTTCCATATGGGGCATGACCCTGTGGTCCCCTCAGGCATTTTCATCTGTGAATCCACAGTGACTTATGGGGAAATATGGATGTCCAGGAAGCCAAGGCCCCATGAATTCACCCCTAGAGTCCCCAGTCTCCCTCTCAACACAGGGTAGCCTGAGGAAGCCAGGATAGTTAGGCAAACTCCACAAAGGAAATTGCTATCTCATGCTTAAGACATGAGACCAGTATATTACAAAAGAAGTTTTTAATGCCTAAAAAGGAAAATAAATGATCCTATACATTCAACTTTTATATACAAAAGTATGATGAAATAATTGCAAATCTATTTTTTAAAGAAACCCTTGAAAAATCTTCCCTGGGGTATCTTGTTGTTGTTGTTATGTGCCGTCGAGTCGGCCCCGACCCATAGCAACCCCTCCTTGGGTTTCCAAGGCAGTATCACTACCGAAGTAGGATTGCCCAACCTTCCTTCCGAGGAGTGGCTGGTGGGTTTGAACCGCCAGCCATCTGGTTAGCAGGCAAGTGTCGTAGCCACTATGCTACCAGAGCTGGGGTATCTTAGTAGGTACTAATTCTCATAGGAATTAACTTTAGAGTAGTTTGTTTGGCTGGTAATTGGGAGCAAAACTGGTAGAGGAAGTACAGATGGTCAGGGTGGATTCTAGGTTGGCTTTGGAACTTGGGAAAATGACCAATGAACAGATTTCAGGAGGGGAAACATGTTCCCAGAGTTTCCTGCATTCAGCATGGACTTGTTGTGGTGGAACCAAACTTACTCTTTGTTCTTAACATGCAACTCAGTAGCAAAGTGAGTGGTGTGGAATGATACCATGTCTGGGGGCCTACAGGGATCTCTCTATCTAAATGAGATTTGCCTGGCACTTTCTGCATACCTGGCACTGCTACTATGCACCTCTGTCTGCACCCCTGTGAGGGGCTGGGTAACCAGACTGAGATCATGTGGTGAGTAAGCCATGCAGTGGAGGTCCACTCTGGCAGCATTTACTTAGCAACACTCCTTCTCACCATTTTCTCCACTGCCCTTCTGCAGCTCTCCAGCCAAGGGGGCTTCACGGCCTTGGATTCAGCAAAAGAGTGCTTAAGGAGGTGTAAGGGGCCTTGTACCCTGGCCACCTCTAATCTGTGAATGTGTTTGTGTGTGTATGTGTATGTGTGCCCATGTGTAGGTCTGTGTGTTTGAGCCTAGATGTATTCCTGCTATGTGTTTATATGTACACTTGTGTATGAGTGGTTGTGTATCCATCTGTGTGTGCTTCCTGCATCCCTGGGTGCTTTGTGTTTGTCACCTAGGCCCATTTGTGAAGAGTATTTCTTCCAGGTGGAAATGTCAGTGAATAAGCAGACCATCCGAATGCCCCACCAGCTCTTCATTGGGGGGAAGTTTATGGATGCAGAAGATGCTAAGACCTATGACACCATCAACCCTACAGATGGAAGCGTGAGTGCAGGCCCCAGGCCTCCCCTCTTCCCCTTCCTCCAATGAACCCTGGCCAGGGGATAACTCTGCTTAGACTTGTGCCTTTGACATGAATATGAAAGAATTTCAGTGAGTCTCCTATCCTCCCTGCCCCAAGCTACCACCACCACTGTAAATGACAGAGAGAGAAGATAAGGGAGAGGAGGGTAAGAAGGATTTTAGAAGCTTGAGCCTGCTTCAGAGACTGGGGGCAGAGTTAAAATCATCAAAAGAAGAAATGAAGGCTGTCCCCTCACACGCACACACACACATAAACACACACACACATATTTCACAATAACCCAGCATTAGCCCACCCTCCTGTCAGAAAATCCTTTCTTGAATTATTCCTGTGTCTTTCAAACTTTCTCGACTGTGGCCCTCAGTATTTTACATCATGAACCAGTACACACACATTCATATTCATACACATACCTATCTGAGACAAAAGTTCCAGGAAACAAAACTTACCCTTAAAGATGCATTACTGAGCCCTTCAGGTCTGGAATTGAACCCACACCTGTGGTTTCCAGCCAAACAAAGTACAGGCATGTGAGTTAAACATTTACCTCAAGTAGACACACAC